TTTTAGTATTTCTGTTCGGCAATGTCCGGTCACTTTTATAATAATACTCACATTTTCATGATGAAGCATGTGCCTTATTGAATGAAGAGTTCGACATTTCCAGGTCTCGCCATTTTTTACTTTCATATCATCCAAATCTTCGTCCCACAGCCCCATATTATAAAACCAAACCTTTTCAGCGTGCTTGTGATCGTCCATGCCAATTCTAACATTTAAAAAAAAACTATTTTCAGCATTTTCCTTCAAATACGTCAATATTGTATGGTTTTGTCGGGCAACCATACAAGCAAAACATTTATTTTTCTAAAAAATATTTAGCGCACGCTCACTAAAATGCCTGCTTCGTAATAAGTGTGTGACCAAGTGTGTGACCAGTCTGTTTGATTTGCGTCCTCGCCGATGATTACAAACACAACAGGTCGCATGTCACACGACCCCCCCCCCGCCATATCGCAACAGATTCTAATCGCATCACCAATCGCACAGCTAGCATTATTGCGAGAAATCTAGATGAACAATCGTAGGAGTGAGCGAGCGCACTTACGTTGGATCGAATGTGTATACATTGCACCCATATTCGGACATGGCATTATCAAAACTCCAATCATGACCAACTCTGTAACGAAAACAAATATCACAATAAAACATGTTGTAGTTTTATTCCATCTAGTTGGCATTGTGAAATACGGCAATAATTTATGTTTATTAACAATGCATCAAACTACTGTATTGTGATATACACATAATTACGTGATACCTAAACTAACTTATAATGCTCCTGTCATGACTCAAACATGTTATACCTAGAAAACAAACAAATTGGACAATTTTCTCTGATAATAAAACTGTACAAAATAAGGAACGCTTCCAATTACGTAGTCCAAAGCATATTCCAATTATCCGTATAGCACTTTGAAAACCATTTTAACTATATTTTATAAGAAAATCCATTTTCAACATAAAATAACATTCACTATAACATAACTAACTAATCATTGTATGTCACAAAAATACAAGAGAAGGGAACATGTCTGTATACCACCGTGACGTTTGAACAATTCCAACGCAATCACTTGCAAGGTTTTAATATGTAGATTGGTTTTGGAGATCGCCGGATTATGTTTTGCTCAAACCGGTCATTGGTGGTGTTAGTGTGTGATCCGGAAACACAAGATCCGAGTTTATACACGCGACAAAGCGGCCCAGATCACGATTTCTCTATGTAGCATAATGCTGTGTGTTTTTAATTATTATCTCTGTTTCTGGTTACCATAAATTAATTAAAAAATAGTAAAACTATGCTCACCGCTCTGCATTTTCTTTCGACAAATCCGCGGAACACGTTTTATTGGAGGGGAGTATGTATGTATGTATGTATGTATGTATGTATGTATGGATATGAACGTATTATAACAATTGATGCGCCGTGTATGACCTTGTAGCTATTCGTCAATACAACATGTCACAGACTTTGTTTATATAACAAGCACGGTATAGTAAAACACCATCTCACTATCTAATCACCGCCATCTGGTACTTAGTCATGTTTTATTGTCCCAAACCCTGTCCTTCCGAATTGTCTTAAAATCTGATTTGACATCCGTTTAGGGTGGTAGCATGAATGTATCGTTATAACAGGGCTACGGATTCGTGGGACGTGAAGGCTTCTACGCGACCATAAATTATTTTATTTAGCGTAGGACGTCTTCCAGAATATAGCAATTGTACGAACCAAAGGTGCCATCATCGCAATGAACAAAAACAAAGAGCTCATCCATTACCAGAAATGGCAACTACTAGATGAATAACTAGATATTGAACAATGATATAATTATATTAGATTTGTTTGTTCATATCACGACAATGAAATAAACATCATTATTTAAACAAAAACAAATTATAAAAAAAAAAAAAAAAACTTCCTACGATAGATGGACTGGTATACACAAACAAATATAGTAGGTATAGTTTACAAGAACAAGAAACATTTATTTAATTCGCTGTGTTATGTATTATTTCTGGTTTCAAGTTGCTCTATTATATATATCCGAGCATACCTCATATCATCTTGATGAAAATAGAAAGTAAGATTCCGTCGTCCTTTTAGTATAATTGTAATCCTATTGTTAACAAAACTAAAATAGAAAATAGATGGTCGTCTAATTGTGATGATTGTCATCGTTCCTACTGATTGTAACCATTGTTCTCATCGACTGTAACCACTATGCCCGCCAACGCCGTACATAAGACCGGCGTCAAGATTTGCCATGATTTCAACCAATATTTGAGTCGATACTCAATACACTGAATTCGGCTATTTTAAATTAATGGACCCACAGTGTACTGTAAATATATTAATTATCCATTGGGTTTTAATTTCGCTATTTTCGCTAACAACTAAAATCCGTTAAGTTAAAACCACATAAACATGTAAAATAACAATATAACGACATGTTCGTGAACTTAAAACCCAGTGAATATGCTCAAAATATAGTGAAATTAAATACCAGTGAAAATAAATGGTTCCACAGTATTTGTTATTTGCTACTAAGAGTAACAATTAAGTAATATACAGTACAGTGAGTACTGTTTCACGGCAGCGAGTCTTTAGAAAATGCAGATGAGTATAGGAGACCAACTTAAAATAACACAAACACGAAATTTAAAATATAATAGATGTATCTCAATAAGCGTTTGTGACATCTGGCGTATTCATTTATTCCGATATTTACCGGCTGTTCCAGGGTCATTTGGGATAATATGCCCTATTATATATAATATAAATGATAGTACGTTATTTTCTATTTTATTGTATTTTTTAATATTTATAAAATTGTAAAAAACAAAAACATTTTCCATTTCAAACGTGTATGTACAGAAATGTAATATGTATATTTCTTACAGATGGGTTCAGATTGAAGTGCGAGTTTCATGCGAGACGCTTCGAATGCGTGTTCATTTCATATGAATCTCTTCCCGCAAATTCGATTTTTTAGTTGAAACGAATTTCAGGGCGATTTTATTTAACGTTTCATAATTCTGGCGTGAACACAATGTTAAGATACAAGAACAAACAACAAATGTTTTGGGTTCTGTGAGTAATAAGATATATTGTTTAAAAAAACAGTCACATACTGCGAATTTAAACAAATGTTTTTGATTTTTGACAAACAAGCAAGACTTTTATGTATCATATAAATATCATGACAATTAATACGTACATTTTTGGATAATACGATGACGGTTTCATACCAAATAACCGTCTATTTAAATCTGTACGTATTACACATCAAGGACCTCAGAGCATCGCCACGACAGGGTTACTGCACTGAGAGCAAGTATGTGTACCTACCCGACAGAATATGTAATACATTTTTTAGGGTCGATGTTGACGTCCATGCACACGTTCCATCCTCCATCATTGGCATTACCCATACGTCTATTGTCCTTGCAGTTATACTCTACGGTGGAGATGTAATTCATCAATAAACCCCACGCCTCGTTAGAATCCATCACTTGTATGTCAGCTTTGGATTCACTTGTTGATAATTTATCAACATTATTCGATGACTGTGTCTCTTTGTCCTGTGGATATTTCAAATACATTTATCATATGTTCGTTATTAAACAATTAAATCATCAGAATCATGGTCATTCATTTCACGAATCTGCAACAACGGGACTCCGTTTTTTGTGTGGATTTTAGGAGAATATAATTATTTAAAACACAAAAAAAGCAGGATAGTTTACCAATTAATATGATTTAAAACGTGTACACTGCTGCGATGCATATATGCAGTTCGTGTGGGTAGATGAAACCATAGTCACTTCTACGGAACATAATCGCGACGATAACTTATAATGATGGTGGAATAATAAATATTATAGTACCTGCGGTATTCCTGACTTGATATGTATTCGTGCCGGGGCGTTTTTATCTGAATACAAAAAATTATATAAGACATATTATAAGCAGCATAAAACATGGGACACGCGTTCAAACATTGATAGTATTTTGTTTTCGTTTGTTGTTACAGAACAGCATGTGGATTATGGCGGTAACACTGCCATTTATCTCATATCATTCACCATTAATTTTATGCGTATTTATCGCGACTCTACACGACGAGAGGCTTACTTACACGCTACATGGAAACAATCATATAGCAGTTTTCACCTCTTGCAATGTTGCATTTTGTCATGTAACTTTCAATTTAAAGATTCGTGGCGCTTAAGTGGGTCGTAGAATTGTAAAAGCTATAAAATAATTAATGGAAAATACTCACCGAAGTACAAAAGAACACATAACAATATAATCATTGAAGACACGCAAGCGGTCATCGTTTGCCGTGGACTGAACACCATCGCCATAATGATACAGAAGTAGATATCCGCTAGGTAACACGCCGAATAGTGGTGTATTGCTGAATCGTCCACGACTTGTTGCTTATTTGTCCGTGAAATCCTCGCTAATAACCAGTAAATATGGGGATGTGGCAAATCCGAACAGGGTACAGGTGTTACATGTTTATGTACTGGACACATAGTAATATTTTGCTTTACACGAAAACGGAGTGGGTGTGAACATTGCCGAAAAGTTGGAGGTATTAACAGTTAGTGAAATGTTATCCATGCAACAAGGCAAAGGAGATTATCTCTAAACAAGGAAAACATATTCCGGTTAGTATGAGAATATCTACCAATCTGGAGGCTGTATCAAAAAAAGTTATTATGGGGATTTGGTGAGGATCATCGTTTACCTACGCTCATAATACTCGTACAGTTTGTTGTTGAGCTGTTCTAAGAGAGTACGAACGTTGGTAAGCATATTGGATTGTCAAATACATCTGCAGAAATCTTCATTTTGGGAAAGCGTGCCTTGTTTCTAGACTGCTACTCAAAACGCTGGAAATATTTCGCTTAATAGACGAGATAACGTAAATGTCAACACAGAAGTATTTCACAATAATTCACCCCATATCCCTTTGACTACACGAGTAAATATATTTACGCCTAAAAGGAATTCCATTGTGCACATGACGTTAATTTTAAATTACAACTTGTACAATACGGTGTAGTCTGAGACGGTGTATGTGAGTTAAACTGCATAACACTCGGTGACATTGATATTTTTTATTGTTTAACACGTATTTATCCCTATCATTTGAAGTTGCATGAAAACAATGGGGGCTTCATCAATCCAATAACCTCGAACCAGTGTTTGATAATATATGGTCTTCGTGGCATCAATCGTTATGTTATCATTAAACGAGAGACACATGAAGTTTCTCATAGATTATAGTTGTCGTGTCCCATCGTCTGCCGATTTGATTTGATTTTCCAGATCACTAGGAACCCATTGATCTTACCTACAATTGCTAAGATTGTAATTACACATTTCTCAGGGTCTCTGCGATATGAATATAATCTTATTTTTTTATAGGTAACACTCTGCATACTACCTCGACATTTAATTGTAATCTATCCACATGCTTCATTGATTAATTGACACAATCATTGAAACTGAACGAGGACTATGTCATTGGCAATAATTATGAAATCTCTTATTCAATGTAGCTAAAGCAAAACGCATTTCACCAGGATGCTACTCAGATGAGTGTTTAGCATATTAAAATAAGCTAGTACTGCAGAGTTTTGTCCCTTCTTTGTAATTCGGGGGAGGCTTAGATGAAGTTGATATATAGCTTATAAGTAAATGTAATGTGGGTAACATTATTTCAAAATGTACTTGGCATAGGGACTAGATAGGTCAGTGGTTCTGTGCAAACACTGTTATGCAAGCTATAATGTGTTTACGACAACCTGCCTGTAAAATAGAAACATACGGTTCCCTCTATATGGTAAATGTGACTGATACTACAAACACATAATTTGAATGTGTCGATATTTAACACAGTATAAAGTGTGGACTAAGCAATATCGAAATGTGACTGATACTACATAAACAGAATTTGAATGTGTCGATATGTATCACAGTATAAAGTGCGGACTAAGCTATATCGGTTTTAATGTGACTGATACAACATACACAGAATTTGAATGTGTCGATATGTATCACAGTATAAAGTGTGGACTAAGCTATATCGGTTCTAATGTGACTGATACTACATACACAGAATTTGAATGTGTCGATATTTAACACAGTATAAAGTGTGGACTAAGCAATATCGAAATGTGACTGATACTACATAAACAGAATTTGAATGTGTCGATATTTATCACAGTATAAAAGGTGGACTAAGCAATATCGGTTCTAATGTGACTGATATTACTTACACAGAATTTGGTCGTGTCGATATTTATCTCAGTATAAAGTGCGGACTAAGCTATATCGGTTCTAATGTGACTGATACTACATACACAGAATTTGAATGTGTCGAGATTTATCACAGAATAAAAAGTGGACTAAGCTATATCGGTTCTAATATGCCTGATACTACATACACATAATTTGAAAGTGTCGATATTTTTCACAGTATAAAAGGTGGACTAAACTATATCGGTTCTAATGTGACTGATATTACATACACAGAATTTGAAAGTGTCGATATTTTTCACAGTATAAAAGGTGGACTAAACTATATCGGTTCTAATGTGACTGATACTACATACACAGAATTTGAATGTGTCGATATTTATCACAGTATAAAATATGGACGAAGCTTTATCGGTTTTAATGTGACTAATACTGAATACACAGAATTTGAATGAGTCGATATTGATCACAGTATAAAGTGTGGACTAAGCTATATTGCTTCTAATGTGACTGATACTACATACACAGAATTTGAATGAGTCGATATTGATCACAGTATAAAGTGTGGACTAAGCTATATTGCTTCTAATGTGACTGATACTACATTCACAGAATTTGAATGTGTCGATATTTATCACAGTAAAAAGTGTGGACTAAGCTATATCGGTTCTAATGGGACTGATACTACATACACAGAATTTGTATGTGTCGATATTTATCACAGTATAAAGTGTGGACTAAGCTATTTCGATATCAGCAGCTCATGGACTTGGGATGTGTTTAAAACTTAACTGTATAATTGGGGTTCTAGCCGCATTGCATAATCTGTTAGTTATTTGGCAACTTTAACCTCAAAATATTTAGCCTATAACATTTTTTGCATCAACAAATTTATAGGTAATAGTTATTATTAAGAACACATTTGTACGATTAATTTTTTTATCATTTGTTCTGAAATAAAATTTAAATAAATATATGCATGAGCGCCTGTGTGAATTCTGGAAACATAATATCAAAAACAGGGTAACCCCCCTACTGATCCACCGACACCCCCCCCCCTAGGCCGAAGTAACTGACCAATCCCTAATGTGACTGATACTACATACACAGAATTTGTATGTGTCGATATTTATCACAGTATAAAGTGCGGACTAAGCTATATCGGTTCTAATATGACTGATATTACATACACAGAATTTGAATGTGTCGATATTTTTCACAGTATAAAAGGTGGACTAAACTATATCGATTCTAATGTGACTGATACAACATACACAGAATTTATATGTGTCGATATTTATCACAGTATAAAGTGTGTACTAAGCTATATCGAAATGTGACTGATACTACATACAGAGAATTTGAATGTGTCGATATTTTTCACAGTATAAAGTATGGACTAAGCTATATCGGTTCAAATGTGACTGATACTACATACACAGAATTTGAATGTGTCGATATGTATCACAGTATAAAGGGCGGACTAAGCTATAATGTCGGTTATAATGTGACTGATACTACATACACAGAATTTGAATGTGTCGATATGT